GGCCCGAGCACTACTGGTCCCTTTACTTTTCACCTGGTCACTGAAACACCGCCTATTGTTTTAATTTATTCATTTACTTACTCGTTCGCCCTCAACAAACATGACTGAGCACAAGGCACTAAGCTACATACTTGGGGGTGCAGTGCTGGTACCGCCTAGGAAGGTGCAGTGTGGGGAGCAGACCAAAGAGGAGAGAGACTGACTTATACGTAACAGTTACAAGACAGTGTGGAAGCTGCTTTCTTAGGATATAAACACCTGTGACTTAGGAGCTGCCAGAGGAAGGCTTCCCGCACCAAGGGCCGCTGAGAATAAAGAGAATGCCCTTAAGGGCTGAGTTTGCCAAGACTAGGCAAGGGACATTCACGGAGCCGTTATGGAGTAAAAGAGATTTCTTCCCCATCGTGGTATGTAGATTTAATTCCCATACTTGATTGCAGCTGGGAACAAAATTGAGGAAGAGATGGACTATTTAGCATTTTATAGAGAAACAGTGCTCATAATCACTACGGGGGAAAACATGAGGCAGACATTGATTTGAAAAGCATCTGGTAGGGAGAACTGTCCGTTTTTCAGAGATGAGCCTGTGACACCTGCTGGCCAAACCATATAACGCCCCTCTGGGGAGGAGTGCTGAGCAGTGAAGCTAAATATTACCTCTGCTTCTACCGAAGGAGTGACCCCTTCCACCTGGGTTTCCTTAAGGACCTCCAGCAGGTGGAGACTCCATGGAGTGATACCTCTGGTCCTTTTTTATGTTTAGTTTTTCTAGCTTGAGAAGTTCACGAAGGTTAAAGAAGTTACATATTTAATGCCATCTCTTTAACAGTAAGTGAACTGAGATGGAGAGAAGAACTGGGTCACTCGAGGCCACACACAGGGGGGCTGGCCGGCTGATACCACAGTCCTGAGACTCCCAGGCAAGGGTTCGGGTTGCTAACATCTCTTCTATCTCATTATATGCTTCAGTTATTCACACATTTTACTACCGATGCATTATCAATATTCTGTATGTGTCTGAATGGCTTTCACTTCTTTTGAAAAGTCTGGCTTACTGCCTGAACGAAGTGGCTCAGTGGTTGAGTGTTGATGTATGAACCAGGAGGTCACGGTTGGATTCCTGGTCAGGGCACAGGCCCGGGTTGTGGGCTCGATCCCCAGTGGGGGGATGTGCAGGAAGCAGCCGATCCACGATTCTCTCTCATCATTGATGTTTCTATCTTCCTTTCCCTCTCCCTTCATATAAAAAATATAAAAATATTTTTTAAAAGTCTGGCTTATTGAGGTAAATTTTATGTAAAACAAAAATTCACCAATTTTGAGAGTGTGGTTCTCTGAGTTTTGATAAGTGCATCATCACCACCACAAACAAGACCTGAAATATGTCTACAAGCCCCCAAATTTCTCTCATGCCCTTTGGTCGTCAACACCCTCCTCCCCGCCAGGGCCTGGCAACCACTGACCCGTTTTCTGTCTCTAGTTTTGCCTTTTCCAGAGCGTGATGCTCACGGAACCCCCTGGTATGGAGCCCTCAGGGCTGCCTCTTCGCTTGCCTTACTGATTGATATGAGTCAGCCATGTTGTTCTGTGTACCGGCAGTTTGTCCTTTTTATTGCTGAATAACATTCTATTACGTGGCTAACCCATGACATGTTCATCCTTTAACTGTTGATGGAAACCAGTTGTTTTCAGCCTTTGATGACGATGAATGAGGTTTTGATAAACACTGTCAGCAGGCCTTTGTGCGGGGGTATGTTTTCCTATCTCTGGGGTAAAATCCCAGGCCTGGGATGGTAGGCTAGGTGGCAGATACATATTTAAAGCTCTATAGAAAACTGGCTTTTGATTTTTAAAAAGTAAGTTCTCACACATTATTTATCCTTATGTCAGTCTAACTCTAGTTATGCCCCATGTCATGTCATTGTTGGAGGAATCTTGTGTACAAAATAGAGCTTTAACGCCAAGAGTGACAGTGGAGGGCAGTCAGCCAGGGTCAGGAGGCAGTGTTTCTTTGTGTCACGAGAAGGGTGCAGCCTCGGGTCATCTGTGGTTTCCACTTTGCTTTGTGAGAAACCTGTGTTTATTAGGCAAGTCACCCACCCTCTCCGAAGGCCAGTTATTCAACCCTCACATTTAATAACTGCAGGGCTGCTACAAAGATGATCTGGGGCGAGGTCAGTGTTTCCCATGTAACACGGCTGCGACTGCCATCAGAGCAACAGCTCTGGCTAAACACAAAGGCTACGTTCGAGAACACACCAGGCGTCACCTATAGGCAATTTAGGATTCATTAGGAATTAATGGGTTTCTTCAGGGGTTGACATTTGTCACCCAGGGACCAATGAGTTTCATTTGGCGCCAATGTCTGTGATGTGTGAGTTGTAAAAATACTGCTATTCTTACACTTTCCCACAGATTAGCATTTTGTACTTAATTTAAGATCGAGTCTTCCATGCCACGACAGTGCTGTCCACAGCTTATACCCATGAGCCTCTAAGTTATAACTTATGTGATGCTGTGACACACCTAGGCAAGGGCCCATTTTAACTAGACTTCTGAAGGACCGAAACCTTTCTACAGCTCCACGTAAGATATTCTTAATCAAACACATGGACAGGAGGTCCTCGACTTTGCTATTTTAAGAAGATTCTCACTCTTTACTGGCAGGTACTCAATCCACTAGAAACGTTAGTTAGGTTGCACTGACACCTGCTGGTAAGCCCGTAAAACTGTTACAAATGGCAATAGAATCCAATATTTCGGTCGTATTTGTGTTCTGGGTTTAAAAAAATGAGATTGACGGTACCTGTTCATTCCTGGTTCAGTGTGATTCAAGTGGTCTGGGAGCCTGCGCACCTCTCTCTGGGATCTTCATAAAGGCGAGTGGCAACACAGGCTTGGCTGAGAAGGAACACGTCTTTTAAATCATCACCTCTTCCTGTCAGTGTTTACCACGGAACGTCGACAGCATCATCGTCTTCTGCTTTATCACCCCATCATCATCGGGATGTCTTTGGGTCCTGAAATCGTACAACAGTAGCCACATTTGAGAAAAACTCCGGGGGAGGTTAGGCTTAGGGTGGAGGGCAGCTAGCAAGCTCAACAGAGCTCAACCTTAGGGATTCTTTTTTCTTGTCAAGAGGTAGCAGCACACAGCTCCTTTAAAACCCACCAATCCAACACTCTGATTTAGGGTCACAGAATTTTACAACTGGAAAGAAATTTAATAATCACGTAGTTCACCCATGATTATATATATTGATTTCAGAGAGGAAGGGAGAGGGAGAGAGAGAAACATAAATGATGAGAATCACTGATGAGCTGCCTCCTGCAAGCCCCACCCCCCACAACCGGGCATGTGTACTGACCAGGAATCGAACCATGATCTCAACTTAGTTCATAAGTTGATGCTTGACCACTGAGCCATGCAGGCCGGGCTCACCCTTCTTTTGTAGATGGGGAAACTGAGGCCCAGACAAATTTATATATTGCCTAGCTGATAGGAGAAACATGTTTCCCAATTTCCCACTGCAGGGTTCTTTCCTATATAAATCGTCTCCATTTGCTTCTTGTTAAGCTTATTCCAAAAATACTCATAAATAGGATTTGAGAATCTCTACTTAGCTTACCTGAACTCAATCATCTGACCTTAACTAGAAATGTTATGCAAATACACACTTTATTAGGTAATATGGTCCTGTAGTGCTTCAGAAATACCTATTTATTCATAGGCCCTCCCCAGAAACTGAAGCTCCATATTGATTTCTTCAGGTGGGAAAATAGAAAGAGGCATGAGAAAAAAATGAGAAATAAACCTTTAATCAGGACAATTTCTTCTTTGATCAGATCTTGTGTCACAGAATGGCGTGGCCAATTATTGCTACATAGTTTCTACCCATCATGCCTTTGAAACCTGAAGCCACCAGTGAGACTGTAGGACAGTATCTCATCTTCGCTCAGCAGGTACGGAAACTGAGTGCAGCCAGGACTCCGTGCAGGTGCCAATGTACCAAACGCTCTTTGCATTCTGTCCACCCTGAGGGTATTTTTGAAAATATTTGGGTTTATCATTGAGTCTTCACAAAAGGGGAAAAGGAGGAAGAAAAGGAAGGAGAGAGAGAGAGAGAGAGAGAGAGAGAGAGAGAGAGAGAGATTGATTTTTGTTCCACTAATCTTTTCATTCATTGGTTGACTCTTTTATGTGCCGACCAGGGATTATACCCACCACCTTGACGTATTGGGAGGATGCTGTAACCAACTGAGGTACCCAGCCAGGGCTGTTATGTTTTAATAAGAAAAAGGGCATTTGAAAGGAAGAAAATGAAATGAAAATGGCCATGGTTCTCTGCCCATTATTATGTAGGAACAATTTCTAGAATATGTCACCTGGTGGGCCAGAGGCCTTTCTAATACCTCGGTGGTAGGTTGTACAATTAACTGCACTTACTACCAAGGACACATGCCAACAGAGTCCTTTATTGCCCAGACCACCGTAAGTGGGAAAGTCATTGTGCTGTGTTTACACACGCTGTCTCCTTTATTCCTCAAAACCACCCCCGAGGTGGATGCGATTCTCATTTTGGCAGACGAGGACACGGGCTCCAAGAGGTTCGGTAAACATGAAGTCTAGGAAGGATCTGGGCCCAGGGGCTCTCCTGGACACGAACCCCTAAGCTACAGCTTTCCCTTATGCAGCTTCAGGCCTGAGCTTAACAAGAAGTGCAGGGAAAGGCGGTTCCAGCGCAATTCCAGCCACAAGGCAGGGACTTCGTCCCACAGGCTGTGCTTCACTCGGTTTTCCTATTTGCTGTATGTCTGAAAAATGATGTCATTGACTTAGCGCTGCTTAAGTGTAAGGACACAAAATGGAAAAAACAATCTGGGATATTTATCCGGTGGGGAATGTAGGGAATGCCTCTGCCTTCCCCTGAGCAATGTACTAGAACACGGGAGACATTTGTAAAAAAACACGAATCTGCTTAATCAACACAGAACACTTGAACGGTAGAAGCTCATTTTATTTATGTGACAGTGCAATCCCAAGAGGACAGAGCAGATAACTAACATTACATTCATAGAGAGCTTCTGCTTTCTACTGGCTTCATCTGACTGCGTTAACACACACACACATGCCAAGGCAAAAGAAACAACACAACAAAGACCTCATTGTTGGAACATAAACCAGGATCATTATAATGTTTTCACAGCTTTGCAATTGTGGGGATATAATGGCATTATGGGAGGAGGACGGGGAGGGAGAGGAGGATGGGGAAGACAAGAGGCCTACGTAAGTGCTCCTCGCTGCCAGTGACGAGCAAGAACCAGACACCGTGGAACACATACTAGTTCGTACAGCAGAGTGGGCAATGCAACCTGACCTGTGCAGACTCCCCACAGAATTCCTCCACCATGAGAAAGATCCTTTATTTCTTCCTGTATCTATTCATCAAAATTGCATGATGAATAGTGCCTTAGATCTTCTTTTTGGCAGAGGAAAAAAAGTTCTCAATGCAAGAAACTGACTGTGTATAACAAACACGACTCTAGCATCCATGTGATAACCTATGCCCCAACAGTAAAGACCTTTTGATACTAGAGTTTTGACTTCTGCCTGTGCCTACTCAACATTCTTTCAGAAGGGATATTTTATAAAAAATAAAAACCAATGTACCATCTCTCAAGGTCAGGCTCAGTGACAAAAATGCACTACCCGAACCTGGTAAAACATCGACTCCTCGCCGCATGTTAGCTGCTTATAAAAAGAGCAGCTGCACTTTCCCGTGATCCATGCAGGAAACGCTCATGGAGATCAAGCAGAACAGAGACGTCCTTCAGCTGTGACATGAAGCCTCAGAGTCCTGCAGACTTATGGGCAGAAAGAAAAGCACGATGGTTGCCCCAAAGCCGAGCCAGGCTGAGTCAGCCCTGGGAAGGCTGGCTGGGGGACCACAGGAAGCTGGACACTGAGTCAGGAAAGTTCCACTGTGTGATACGGGTGAGACCTATCTCTCCTCGTGCCTTTTTCCAGCACCACGGGCGCTTTGCTTAGAAGCATCTCAGGCTTTGAATGCAAGCGACTGTCCTTGAATGAAAAGGCTGAAGCGCTTCTGGTCCTGGAAACAGCTCACGATGGGTCCTTAAGGCAAATGCCAGGCGTCAAAGAAACTGTAGGGCCATTTCAGAATGCAAACCATCAAGTCACTGCCCCAGGAGTTATGTCCGCGCATGAACGCTCCTCACAAGAAGAGCTCCCGGCTCTTGGGTTTTGAAGTTCATGTGGCTTTTACATCCGAGAAGTGCTGCAATGTTTTCCTTTGTAGAGACTTCCAGGGTGGATAAAAGTTCATGATGTTGCGTAAACACTAACAAGCAACCACAGTGTGGAGAAGCTATTCAACTACTAAGCCGTGTGAGGTTTGCTTCTGCTTGGTGTTCACAGCTTGCTTTTGTGGTTGGCATAGGGAAAGCCGAACTGAGCGATCATGAGGTTGGAGTACTTGAGGGGCATGCCGCCGTAGACGCTGACGAGCTTATTGACGCAGTAAGACCTCTGCAGGAAGTGTTCCGCTCGATGCCACATTCCCGAATGGCCCCCACTGGTTTCTTTTTCCAAGTTGCCCATGTTTACAGGTTTTACAAACACCCCTGAAGTCTTCCCGGTGTGCTTGGCAATGAGGAAGTTCATGGCAATGTCATCACAGTTTTGCGTGTCATCGACCAGGGCGTGGACGGCTGCGGGCTGCCTCTGGAAGAGCTCGAGGTACTTGCTGCTGAAGAAGGAGGCCCCGATCAGCACCATGGAGTACTGGTCACCGTCCCCCACGCCCGGGGTCTGCAGCTCAAAGCCTCCGTAGCTGTAGACACCCGACGCGGTGGAAACGTGCTTCCTGGGGACAAATCCTACAATTTGGTCAGGAAATTGCTGAACAGATGGAAAAAGAACAAGTGAGTGGACATTTCTTTAGAGAAGACATAGTGGAAAAGCAATGACTTATTACAAAGAGAAGGAAACGAATCTGCCAGCTTCATTTTATTCCTGTTTCACTGAACTCCAGGCAACTTCATATGTCCAGGTCCTGACACGTTCACAGTCAAATTCCTTCACAGCCCAAATCCCTAGCCTTGCAGACGTTGTCCTGATTCACACACGATCTGTATCAGTCACTGCTAGTCACCAGAGGCTGGTTCTCCCCAGCGCACCTCGGGGGAGCGGCTCCATGAATGCTGCCTATTCTAGGAGCCATGACACAGTGTGATTCTTTCGAAAACTGTTCTGATCTCTTAGGATTATGGGTCTACGTGTATGAGTTTACTGTATTTCCATGTAGATGCCAAGTTCCTGAAAGTTACTGTGTCACTGTTGATTTTTAGACAATGTTATATCTTTATCCCTTTTCAGCCTGGTGTTTCCTTTTAAAAAATATGAATATATATAATGAGATGTGTCAGGACGACTGAAGAAAGGACAGCAGTAACATAATATTATTAAGGTGAGAGTGACTAAAACAAATCAGCAAGCAAAAGAAAACCAGTAAAGCATGTGAAAGAGGTAAGAATAGACACTAAACCAGTATCTCTCTCTCCCTCCCTCCCTCTCTCCCTCTCTCTCTCTCTCTCTCTCTCTCACACACACACACACACACACACACACGCTCTCAGGCAGGGTTAAATCCCATTTCAAAGTGTGCATGGAGAAGGGGTTCTATGGAAAAAAACCTCACGGTGATCTGATCATAAATCCCTAATTGGGCAGGTCATGGCAGGCAGTCACGCCCCAGGCCTATGACTTCTTTAGTGAAAGGTTTCTCTTTGCCTTAAGCAAGCCCTGTCCCTTAGCACGCCTTTGAAATGAGCAAAACCACCCATAGGAGAACACATAATCTTAACTATACTATAATCCAGAGATTTCCAACAGGTCGCTAGAAGAACGTTTAACACAAGCAGTACCTGACTAGTTAGTCAGGAGCACTGTGACCTTTCCCCCCTTAGATTGTCATATAAAAAAAAAATGACAACTGCCAACACAACAATAGCCGTCTGGTGTGAGTGAATAAAAATTATACCTATTTTTATTGTCAGATCAGCAAAAAATATATTTTTGGGGTGCCGCAGAATTCTAACTAAGGAGGTTACTATCACGCAAATCAGACCATTTACTGGGGAGCACTTGTTTAAATGTTGGACAGGGTTTCAGTGCTCATCTGCAGTGTGGTTTCAGGTAACTAGTGCAACCGCTAAAAGCCAGCCCCTGTTACCACATGGTCAGCAGGAAAGCGCTGTATTTTTAGAATGGTGGGCCAGTGAGCAATCTGTGCCTGTCATCCCAGCAGGATGTAGGAAAACACTGCGCGCACCTGTCACCGCAGCGGTGCATGCAGAATTGCCATTAGTGATCTCTAAGCCATGACCACAGAATCAGGAGTAAATTTTGTGGCTATAGTAAATGCTTTCTTTGAACAAAGGTTAAGACAAAAATACACTTCTCATCTGAGACATGCCTGTGGCCCTGCGGAAAACAACTCTGGATGCCAGTCTTTGCTGGACCACACACCAGGTCATTCCCGCACTGCTCTCTGGGAGGAAGTGCTGGCCTTCCACCCCAGAATCCCACAGATAAGTCAAATACAGGTAAAGGCAGCATAACCTGCAGGCTGGCTGAACGGAGCACAGGAAGTCTCGATGACCACATCACAAATGAATCTCTCTTTTGGACAAAAGCTGCCCCAGCTGTGTTGGATGGCACCACATTAAACCACGCTGCTCTAGGTAAACACCAGATAGGACTTCATGCCGAAGAGTTCACAAAGGATTGGGCAACCTTACCTGCCAAACGGAGAAAGCAAATGCAAGGTCTTGGGCGCTAATTAGCATGTCGTCATCGACCATTAACACCGCTGAAATGAAAGGGAGAAATTGAAAACCGAGCCATTTGGAAATGAAAACACAATGAGTAAGATACACCAGCGTCTATACAGATTGTTCACACGAGGTCCTGTCTAACAAATTAGTAAATATATGTATTCTTCGAGAGATTTGTCTAGCAGAAGTTTTTATTTGAACTGAAACTGATTTTTATAATTGCCTGAGGGGGAAATGATCATGTAGTTATCACCTATTATTGTAGAAACTAATGAAACTATAACTAAGTAACACCGAGGTTCTTTAAAGCAAATGATAATCTCACGTGACTGCTATGTAGAAGGCGGGGGCAAGAAATACATTAAGCTTAGGTGGCATCCACTAGCTCTGAGATGCAGTATGTGCAGGCACAGCGTGTCTCCCTTCACAATCACAACCTCTTGTCCCTGCTGTAACAGGGACGTGCTTTCCTCCCCTTGAAGCTGCTACTTGACGTCCTGGAAATTGTCCCTGAAGTTTTTCAAAGTGCTTTCTTAAACTTCCCTCTTCTTCTCTAAACAATTAAGACCAGAGGAATCCAGCCATCTGCCTATGTCCAAGCTCCCTGTAGCTGCTACGACTCACCCTGGGTCTCCAGTTCAGGGAAGGCCTGGAGCCGATTTCTCATCCTGTTGGTGGTCTGGGGTTTGAAGATCACGGGCACGGGGTGCGGCCCCAGAGAGTTCCATAAGTCCTCCGGTGGCTTCTCCCCGACATTGTTCCACACCACGATGGCTTTGTGCAGCTGCGGCACCGCCTGGTAGTGATTGAGCAGCCGCAGCAGCAGATCCGACCTGTTGTACGTCTGCATGATGAGAGTGAAGGAAGCCAGGGCGGACTGGCCCTGGGCCTTCACCTCCCTCCGCCACGAGAGCATCTTGTCGTCTTTGTTGTTGGGAAGGAGAGTGGTGAGGGCCCCAGCCACCAGGAGCAGCAGGAGGACGGCCACCAGAGAGAGGCGGAGCACGCGGGTGCCCAGCGCTCTGCCAGGAAGTTTGCAGATGTGGAAACACCTGGAGGAGCAATGGAAACATGAGTCTCCATGCTTGTTAATGAGGAAAGCCATTCATCTGGTCTTCGTTGGTTCAAGTTCACTTTCCCCGCCTCCTAGGTAAGGTGGTTTGGGCCGGGGCAAAAATAAGAAGGCCAGTGAATGACGCTCCCTCCGGGATTTTCCTGCTTGGCAGCTGCAGACAAAAGGTCTACATGCCGAACAGGAAGAGTCCACATTTTGCTATTACGGATAATGCTGCCATGAACATTCATATACAAGTTTTTAAGTGAACGTGTTTTCATCTCTCTTGGGTATATACCTGTCCCTTAAGAAAGACCTTACGGCATTTTCCACAGTGAAGGCTGCCCTGCAATCTGGCCTTTTTAATCCCCCTTCCGAGAGCCTATATAAAGCATCACATTCCTTCTCAATACTTCTTTAAGCAGCCATTACCTATGAACTAGGTTTGCTTTATCCTCATTGATTTAAGAGGAAGTAAAATACACATTATGTATAAAGTTTTTTCAAAGCCCTGCCTCCTTGAATCTAGCTGTGTGTTACTAGGCAGACAGTGAGGTCCTCTTTCCCCTCAAAGTGCACAGGTCTGAACTGTGCTGGATAAAATTTCCTGCTAGCCTGGCATCTTTCTCCTGGAATTGCCCACTGATTGCAACTATTGTGTGATAATGATGGTGTTTGGAAGTGACCAATCCCAGGGACATAGATTAGGGCAGAGGAAGGAGTGGCCTTATTCCTAAGAGGAACATTATGACTTGTAAGGATGCGAGGAGTCAATGCATCCTATGAAGAAAGCCTAGAAATAGAACGGCATTTTTAGCCCAGTACAGTGCCATGCGAAATTAGTTCCAGAAATGAGTTGAAAAGAAGCCCAGTACCTCTGTAAACACATCACTCTCACCAGGCCGGGGTACGGGAGCTTTTCATGTGAACCTCTCTCTGTTTTAGGCACAAAGAAAAAGAGGGGAGGCAAGCCTGGAATATTCTATGGACCCCTCTCCCAGTATTTACATACGCTATACTGGCTTTCAGCAACCGGCTCACATCTGTAATCACCTCTCTGAGAGAAACAGATTTTCAGACACATACATTATAAACAGTTTTAGATATCAAAGCTAACATGGAAGCAATCTCAATTCACATGGGCTTTCTAACTTTATTAAAGGAAGGTCAAAATACGTCTGTGGTAGACATCTGTCAGTCAACAAACATTTATTGGGGCTTACCACGCGCCCAGCGCTGGCCGGCACTAGGGATGGTAAGGAGCTGGCCCACCCAATGTCTGCCTCACAGCTTACTGATAGCAATGCAGCAGTCAGACCCTTTCCCCCTTTATGCTACATAGTATCTCAAAGCAGAAAGAAGCGAATTAAAATATACCCACCCCATTTCACAGATGGGGTAGCTGATGTAGCGAATATTAAATGCTTTTTGCTGAGCCACTGGAAGAGTGGTAGGTCAGAATAAACGTCCAACTCTCACACTCGAGTCTCTTTATATTCTTAGGGTCTTTCTTTCTTCTCAGCTCTGATCTAATCCACAAGGATATTTCAATTTTATAGGTACTGACTTTCCTCTATAATCTGAATTACTACTTCAAAAGATAAGATCAAAAAGACACCTTATGGTATTTTCTAACAGACCATGGCTCAAGCAAAAACTTATTTCCAAGGAAACAAAGTTACCTCTATAGGGAATATTTTTTTCTCTAATAAAAATACAGGTACCTCACCCCTGTTCATAGCAGCATTATTCACAATAGTGAAAGGGTAGAAGCAACGCAAATGTCCATCAAGAGACAGATAAACAAGATGTGGTATATCCATACAATAGAATACTATTCAGCCATAAAAAGGAAGGGAATTCTGATACCTGCTACAAAATGGATGAACCTTGAGAACATTATGCTACATGAAATAAGCCAGGCAAAAAAGACAGATAGTCTATGATTCCACTTATATGAGGAACCTCGAGTAGTCAATTTCATAGACACAGAAAGTAGAATGGTGGTTGCGGGGGACTGGGGAAAGTGGGAAATGGGGAGTTAACGGGTGCAGAATTTCTGTTCTGCAAGATGAAAAAGTCCTAGAGATGGGTTGTTCAATAATGTAAACATACTTAACCCTACTGAACTGTACACTTAAAAATGGTTACGGTGGCAAATATGTGTATTTTATCACAACTTCAACAGAGCCAAAAAAATATTGATACTTACCTCATCATGATAGTTCAAATTTTTTTCCTTATGGCTTCAAGTAATTGATAGGAACAGACTCTCTTGACCTATTAAGGGAAAATAAAAAATTGTCTGTGATGTTTTTGTCAATTAGCAGGAACATTTTAAAAATTTCTTTCAATGCCATTGTCCACAGGCTTTGAATTATTTCTAGAAATTAAAATTTGCTATTCTGTCCCCTAAAAATCACATTTAGGTAATGAGGTAGATCATGCCGTCCTACAGGCTGGTGATAACACTTCCACATTTTTGTTTTCCTCTTCCTCTTCCGTATCCAGAAGCAGAAACAGCAGACCATCCCCACTATCTTGTGTGTTTACACATTTGAAACCAGAACATACTAGTATATGCCATAGAGCAAACTCTCTAAACGCAGTAGCAATTACCGCTTGTATTCAATTTCTAGATTCCTAAGTATCTTTAGATTTTTTACCCCCACAGCTCCTTTTCTCACTAAAGGGTCACAAGGCATTCTATGTGAAACATCTAAAAAACCATGGCCCCTAAAACAGGGTTGCGGATAAATGCCAGGGCTGAAGACTGAGGAATGGCAGGTGGCATCCTTCCGATTCCTCAGGGACTATTGCCCGAAAGGAGCTAGAGCCCCGGCTGGAGAGGTTCTACCCCTTAATTCTCTCTGCTCTCATTTCTCACAACCCTCCACCACACGTCTGAAAAGCTGGTTTTACTCCCCCAGAGAGTCTGCACAGTTAACCTAATGCAATTAATTCGTAGGAGAGGGCATAAGCAGTTATTAAGATGTTCAAAGTGGATATCCATTTATTGGTTTTAAACTGTTCATTACCATGCCGCCTATTTACAGGCTCATACACCCATGTAATCTTGCAACATGAAGGAATCAAGAATCTGGAGACTTCTAAGATAGTGCCTCTGTAATGACCACCAGAAAAGAGCTGAAGAATCATTTTTTATTTTCCAAAATCATGTTCTTTCATGATACAAGTTACGGAAAGGGCAAAAGGATGACAGTATACATCAAAGACTCACGGAGCAATAGCGGTCCCTCCCCGTGGGCCCAAGGGCAGCTCTGTGCACCTACACCTCACGGTTCCAAAACCCTGAACACACCTGCCCGTCACGGACCCCCTCCTCAGCCTCTTCCACGAATTCCTCGGAAAGAACCTGGACTCACCTGGGCCTGCGACCCACCTCCTCCCTCACCCACCACCGGCTCAGAGCCCAGCATACAGGAGGCTCTCACTGAATGACTGCGGAAGGGATGACAGAAACCGACGCTGGCTTGGACAACATGGATTGGACAACATGGGCACAGACACATTTTTTCACGATGACAAGAGAAGTGAGACACGGTCAGGCGTTTTGCGTTCACACAACCGTCCCTGATTCCAATGGTGCAGTTTATATCCCCAAGGCCTTGGCGCTGAAGTTGGTGGTTGTGCCGCCCAAGACAGAACGCTCTGAGGGGCATCGCACCGCCCCTTCGAAAGGAGAAGGCCCTTCGGTCCCAGGAGAACCTACGTTAGGTCTTCGGGGTGGAGACGGGTGGAATTTGGGAGCCCCAATATAACTGAAATTGAACTTCGATTTCTCCAACTCATTTTAAAACGATTTGAAAAGATCCCTGCGTGAACCAGTGGAGCAATTTATAGCAATGCTAAAATGCACAATCTCTTCTCTTTTTTTGTCCTTGAATTTACTGGGGTGACATTGGTTAATACAACCATCTAGGTTTCGGAGGTTCACTTCTATGATGCACCAGCTGTGTATTGTACAGCGCGTCCACCACCCGAGTCCATCTCCTTCCACCACCGTGTGGCCCTCCTCCCCCAACCCCCGCCCTCCGCCTCCGGGACCACCCCCTGCACCACGAACTCGGAGGCAGGCGGCAGACACACAGGCTCACCTGGCTCCGTAACCCACCTCCTTCCCCCCACCCTCCACCGGCTCAGAGCAGCCGACCTTGAGTGAGGGCTCAGCGGCTGGAACCTGGCTATTCCTGCACCTCCTCGGCCCCTGCAGTCACATCCCGATGGAATTCAGCCGTTTCGCCGACAAATCCAGTTGCCGTGGAAATCCTCGCCCTCCTCACCTGGTGCACCCACTTCCTGCCCGAGTGAAACTCAAACTCTGGGACGAACACAAGTAAACGCTCCTAACGGGCATGCCCCTGCGCTTCAGGTAAGAGACGGATGAAACACACGCCAGGAAAGGCCACGGCCACGCACCCTCTCCAGAACGTACATTTCCGCGATCTCTTTGCACAGCAGTTTGAACGAACACGAACATTTTTTTTTTAATTAGAGAATAAGTAAATTATATTTTCAAAACTAAAACCAGCCACTCACCACCCCCGCCGCCCGCTCCAGCGAAGGTCCAGGACCGGAGAACCCCATGCACTCCCCCCTGGCAACCCTTCGGCGCCCAGCGCCTCTGCGACGTGCTCACCTGGGGGCGGGGTGGCCCGAGCCCCGCGGGTCGGGTTCAGGTTCGGGTTCGGGTTCGCGGCCACACGCGGAAGGGGCGTCCCGCCGGCCCACTCGTGCGCGTGCGCGTTCCTGAAGCCCGCGGCGCTGGGCCGGGGGTGAACGGGAGCGGGGACGCCCCACTTCCTGTCCCACCGCACCCCGAGCCAGCCCTGCCGGCCCCGCTCTCCCCGCGGTGACGGGGGGTCACTCACGGGATGCACCTGCCCGTCCCCGACCACGTCCAGGAAGGCGCCCGAGGAGCGTTCCCAGGACGAGGCGCCCTGCGCCCGCACACGCGCCCACGGCCCTCAGGACCGCAGCTGCCCACTGTCGCGCGTGGCCGCACGGACGGGCCCGGCGCCGAGCTCGGGCTGGCTGGACGGGCCACCAGCACTGGGCTGCCCGCTGAGGGCGCCCTGCGAGACCGTCAATGGCGCTGCCTGCGGAATGGCGGCGACAGGACGCGTCGCCCCCTGCATTCCCGGGCTTTGCTGCCGCCCGCGCCGGGGTTTAACTCGAACGGGGGACGTGGCGACGGGGCGGGCCCAGGCCGCGCGCCTCCGGGGACGTCGAGGCGAGGCGGTTGCGTGGGAGCCGCGAGCGCCCGCCTCACCTCAGGAGTTCCTTCTAGAGGGCGGGTCGCGGCGCCTCAGACCCCGCGGTGCTGCCTGCCATCCCGCCCCGACCCCCACGGCGCCTGCGCGGCAGCCTAGCGACGCCGGCCCTAAGCCCCGCCCACCGCACAAGACACGCCCACCTCGCAAAGCCCCGCCCCCACGTCCCGCCCCCTTTCCCGTCCCAGGACGCGTTGCGCGGCCCGGGCCGGAAGTCGGCGAGTTCCCGGGCGTGTGTCGGTGTCTGTGTCTCGTATCGGCGCGCGGCCCGGGACGATCGCGGGGGATTCCCGTCCGTAGGCGTCACCACTGTCACCACCATCACCCACGGAGCCGCTTCCAGAGCGCGGGAGACCCGGCCCTTCGCCGGGCATTGAAGATGTTGCCCCTGTCCATCAAGGACGATGAATACAAACCACCCAAGTTCAATCTGTTGGGCAAGATCTCGGGCTGGTTTAGGTGCGGGGTGCCCTATGTGCGGGGGAGTGGGGACAAGGCCCAGGCCGAAGGGTGGCCCGAGGTGCAGGGAAGGGGGTGCTAGGGACACCCTCACTTGGGCACTGGGAGGGTCTGGAGAGGGGCCCCGGCGTCCGGGTCCCAGCCCCGCTTGGACTCGCGCGCTCTTGCCCACTTTGTCGTGCCCAGGTCGATCCTGTCGGACAAGACGTCTCGGAACCTGTTCTTCTTCCTGTGCCTGAACCTCTCTTTCGCTTTTGTTGAACTCCTCTACGGCATCTGGAGCAACTGGTAACCGGAGGGGGAAGGGTTGGGGCGGAAGCCGGGGCGGCGGAGACCGGGCTCTGTTTGCTGAATGCCACGTAGCTAGTTGCCGGGAGGGCCAGGTCCTGCCGCCGCCGCCGCCCCTGCAGCTCAGTTGCCGTCTCTTGTCCACAGCTGCCTGGCGTGGTTGCGTTTCTTAAGCATCGGGGCCCACGCGTGCAGCGGTTCCTACGATTTGGGTCCCCGCTCCCCCTCCCCCAGGCCCCCCCCCCCAGCCCCCACTCTGTCCAACAAGAGTGACAAGTCCCCTCCTCATTTGGGCAGGTGCAGAGAGTCTGCCCACATCCCTTAGCGTCTTTGTCCACTTCTTTGGAATTGGGAGAAACGCGCTTCCTGCCTCCCGGGGGAGTGTCCTTGCCTGGGGGGGGGGGGGGGGAGTGGCCCTTGGATTTCTTCCTTAAGATTCCGAGAGGGATGCCCAAGATGTTCTGCTTACTTTGTTGTTAGATCTTGGAATGGGGAAGAGGTTTACACGGGGGACATCTGGACAGAGCGTGTCATCTCTTCCATTCACCTCTCTCTTTAATTTTGTGCTGAAACTGTCTCAGGGTTTTCTCAAAGCTTACCCCTCATGGTGTTTGGTGGTACCTTTGTTGTTGTCTGTTCGTTTTTTAACTGCTTTGGGAAGAGGTGTATCCCGTGGAACTCTGGAAGTGAAATACTACTATCTAGTTGTTTGCTGTTGAATAACTTCAGGGTCTTATAAAATTGTTCAACCAACAATACGGTCATCACGCTTCTGGGCGTACTGATTGGTCTGTACGTCTCCTATCCATTGGAGAATCTGATGAAAGCCAACCCTCAGTCTTTTATACGAGACTTCAGCGAGGTCCTGGGTTCCTCGACAGAGCTCGTGGACCCCCAGTTAAGAACCTGTGCCGTCCATGCTTCGTGTTCTGTTCATTAAGCAGATGTAGTCTCTGTTCACTAAGGTCCATTTTCACGGACAGTTGCTGTCCTTGAGCTTTATCGCTGTGGAAATTGAGCAATGACATTAGATCATATCCCCAGTTTTGGTGAATGTATACTTTTATATGAAACGTGGACCACTTTTCAGTGCAAATGTGGATGCAGTTTTGTCAGTAATCCTCAGCAAATCATGAAGGCCATCGTTGAGCGACCACTTGGATAGTAACTGCGTATCGAACCATGGTCACATCTCAGTATATGTCATAACCGTGCTGAGTCCGCTAGGAATCAGATATGTGTGCCCTGTAATAGTAACCCCCTTCACTGTATTGTACATGTTAAGAGCACTGTATAGTTGACCCTGGAACAACATGGGTTTGAACTATGCAGATCCACTTACATACAGGTGGTTGTCAACCAATATGTGCAGCACTGTAAATGTATGTTCTCTTAGGATTTCCTTAATAATATTGTCTTTGCTCCAGCTTACTTTATGGAAATAACCCAGTATATCATAATATAACACATGTGTTAACTGACTATTTATGTTACTGGTAAGGCTTCCGGTGAATAGTAGGCTATTAGTAGTTAAACTTTTGGAAGTCAAAGTTAAATGCATTTTTTACTGCACAGGAGGTGGGTGTCCCTAACCTCCCTGCTATTCAAGGGTCAACTGTATTGTCTTCTATTGGAATAGTCATAATTTATTATAAATATACAATATTTATATCCTTTATTCTTCCTACATTATGCCATATTGTGGCATATGTGCTGACTGTATCAAGACTATCTTGGTTTATATATGTAGAGTTTTGCCATAGTTACTTTCTTTTACAACACATTATATTTTACTGTGGCCTACCATTGCTTAAATTGCTATGTGAAATGTCTTGTTCAGTGGATTCCTATTTGAAGTGCATAGATTGTCTCTTTCATGGAAAGTCACTTTAGATAGTAATTCTTTTGGTCTGTAGAAAGCTATTGAGAAAATTATGAAAACCTTGGATTTCCAAGCTGTTGTCGAAAGTCACCAGTACGTAAGGAAAACGTGAGTGGTACGTGACTTGTTCTTCTGTGGCTTGCTCTCCTGACCTAAGGCTCTCTTCTCAGATTGTCCAGATATGTTCTAGATTTGGAGTCTAGCACTGACCCAGTGTCTGTTATACCCAGCTCAGGTAGCCGGTATTCCTCTTCCTGTTCACCGTCACATCCACAACCACTGCTCCCCACGGTTAACTTTTATCAGTGCGCCGGGAGTACAAATGTGTTCCCATTACAGCGTTGGCAGATTTAGAAAATGCGTGGGCCTTTTCGTAATCTGGCTTTCTATGTCTTCTTTAGATACCACAATTTTTAGTTCCCTTTGTTGACGGATCAACAGTTTCTTTATGTGACTGGATTATCTCTGTTTCTGAAGGTTCCACGAGAATTTTAAGTTCCTAGAGTGAATTTCTCACGGGAACTTTGTCATTGTAATGTCTGTTCATTTTCATTCTGGAATAAGTAAGTCTCAAGATGTTGTGAACATGAAATGTCAAGAAATTTTTTCTGTTTGGAAGAAAGATGAATAAGATATACTCATTCTTCGCAAGTAAAGGTTCTTAGAAGCAGTTGATCTTGTTGCAGCATTCTGGTTCTTGTTCAGAACCTTCATTTTAAAGTGAAAACTTAATTAGAGTTGATGTATATTTTTGAGGATGAGACTGTACCCTCAGTGGAAGAATAGATAACCTCTTTATTTTCCCCACATTAAGTGCCCATTGCCTTTCAGCTTGCCACTAGAATGTAAACTGTATTAAAGGAGGGATCTTCTGTCTCATTCGGGCACCTTACACATGGTACATAGGATGCCTGATACATATTTGCTGAGTGAAAGAATGAAGGAACAATGAATGCATGGAATTAATCTACCTGTACTGTTCTTCCCCCCTCTCCTTTTCTTCTTGATCATATTTCATTGCTGTCTTTCTGGAAGATTCCTTCCTGATGAGCAGAGCTGACGCTTAGGTTTTTAGAGAAGGATGCCTCCTGTTTGGTTACTATTCTAATACGCCACCATGTTTGTTCTTTTCCAGCTTAGGGCTGATTTCCGACTCTTTTCACATGTTTTTCGATAGCACTGCCATTTTGGCTGGTTTGGCAGCGTCTGTTATTTCGAAATGGAGAGATAATGATGCTTTCTCTTATGGGTAAGACTTTTTAAAATCCTTTTTGTTGACATGTAAGAAACATAGAAAAATACACACATCTCAAGCTCAAAGAATTTTCACTAATCGAACACACTTAGGGAACTTGAACCCTTGAATCTCTTTCGTCTCCTCCTGGTTCCTTCCCACAGGCGACCACCGTCCTGACTACATGGGGTAGGGGCGCCTGGTTCTGAACACTGAATCCCTGTCATCTACAATATTTACTTCTTTCGGGGTTTTTTTTTTGCATCTAAGTTTTTTTGCTTAGGGGTAAGGCATCTTGATTTTACCCAAAATTTGTAGGTGAGATTGTTACTAGGTAAGGGAATTTCTCAACACTTAACCTAGTTTTTTGAAGCAGATGAAAAAGTAAAAGTTGTAGCCTATGTAAATGATCCTGTTTCTTTGTTTTTAGGAGGACATTTTGCTGTTGATTTATTTAAGATCATTCTTTTCCAATATGGTTTCATGTTACATATCCTCTTCAGCTCCGCTTTTCTGTACAGTCCTTCCCCTCTGGCTGAGTTTGGAGAGTGACTCAAATATTCGGAGGGTGTTTTCACACGGGCCCTGAGGGGCAGAGCTGGCTTTTTCGCATCCCTGCTGGAAGCCGCGGTGGTCCCATTATCTGACGGACTCTGCCTGCGTGGGTTTTTTTTCTTAGCTTATAGGACATTCTGCAGGGTAATTACATCCATGTGTCAGAGGCGGTGAGAACCAGTATCCTCTTCCTCTCTCCTGCCCGCTTTCTCTCTGCCCCCTCTGCCTGCTCCCTCTCTCACTCCTTCCTGTCCGTCCCACCCCCCACCTTCGCAGTCTCCCCTTTCTTCACTGTCTTTCTGGTCACTGGGCCTGTGTTCGCTCATTCCTTCTCCCCTCACAGCCTTTTCCTCCTCTTCTCTACTGCTCCCCCCCCCCCCCCCCCTTGCTGTGTCTCTCAGCTCTTTTCTTGTGCTCCCTCTTCCTCTCCCTCAGTCTCCTCTCCAGTCCCTTTTGCTCTGGCTTTTCGCAGTCTGTTCTTCCTTCTTTCACTGATTCCCTTGCCTTGCAGGTGCAGGACCTCCATCCTCTCCCTCCCCTGCTCCATCCACTCTCCTCCAGCATGCTCTGACTCCTGCTCCCTTCCCACCTTCTCCTTCTGCCCAGCTTTGCCTGTGCTCTGGAGCAGGCATCCTCTGCTCCTTGCACATCCTCTGTTCTGTTCAGATGCT